TTTAGAGGGAAAATATCATTATGATAGAGTTAAGAGGAAATATGAAGAGACATGGAGCATTGGACTTATCGAAGGACATCTGTCGAAACAATATTTCAGCAATATAAAGAGGGTAGCCACGAAACCTAAAAGTGGATGGATGCGGAGATAAAGGATTTACACAGGTTCAGGCCCTCTCAATGAGAGGTAATACTCTACTCCTGTTTGGGGATTTGAATTCACCGGGTGTGTATTGATCTGATGATCTGGTTGTGAATATCATATCCCCTAGAGGGCCTCCTGCCCGGGGGCAGCTAATGGGCGGGTGATCGCCCCAGGCGATCACCTCCCATCCCCCCTTAAACTATTCTTCCTTCCACCTCCCCTTCTTCTCTTCCTACTACACCATAAATTTTTAAAAAATAAAAAACACAAGGCTGAAAAAAATTATGTATAGAAATAATATATATAAAAAATTTGAATTCAAATTAAAATTTAAAATGGGTATGTAAACTTTTGACTTATAAAGTTTGGGTCTATAAGCTAATATTTGAATTCGAATTCAAATTTGAATCGGGTATGTAAACTTTTAACTTATAAACTTTAGGTGTATAAATTTTAGATGTATAGAAATACTATATATAAAAATATTTGAATTCAAATTCAAATTTGAATCAAATATAATTCAAATTCAAATTTGATTCGGGTATATAAACTTTTGACTTATAAACTTTGGGTCTATAAACTTTAGGTGTATAAACTTTAGATGTATAGAAATACTATATATAAAAAATATTTGAATTTAAATTCAAATTTGAATCGGATATATAAACTTTTGATTTATAAACTTTAGATCTCTAAACTTTAGATGTGTAAACTTAAGATATACAAATTTTAGGTGTATAAATTTACTAAAATAGTAAAGTAATGCGGTGCAAAAAAAGGAAACCAGGTGGAGGAGAGGGGGACGCTTAGGGGCGATCGCTAGGGGCAATCGATCGCCCCTTAGCATTTTCGCTCCTGCCCACCTTATATAGGATGGGGGCAGGATTCCAAGATAGAAACCTTAACCAATCCGGTATCGGTTTCATAAATCTATTTTACAATATTATCAAACCAAGACTTTGCCGTTCCATTATATACAAGGAAATGTAATAACCAAGTCATGATCCGTTACATATTTTATAGATATAAGTTATCCCCTATAACCAGTCGGATAAACATGCCGTGTGGGTATGGGTACCCATAATCTCCACAACATCAAAACAATGAGAGCTCCTGTTTGAAATCCTAAGGAAAGTAAAGGATTCCTGTGAAAATTTTCTAGCCAAATCCTTCGAACCAAAGGCTCCGTAGAAAAGATCTGTATTGGATTTAAATTTTACAAATTTTCTACGAAAATACTTTGTTCCCAAGGAGACCTCACAATATGTCGCCTATCACCATAACGCATCACACGCGAGTGCTGCCAGTGTCCCACCTACTTGTGTCCGAGCTGCCTGTGTCCCAGCTACTTGTGTCCTAACTACCCAGTACCCACCCTGCCAGCCACCACGTGAGTCCTTTAGCATTGACTCCAAAGCTTTTCCCTGCATTAACATGGCCTTAATTTGCTTCAATTCGAAAGTAGTTATCAAGAACCAACTACTTATGGAATGCATGATTCCAGTTTGTGTTTAATTAGGCCCTATTTTGTTTCTACGCAAAAAACTTTTCACCCTGTCACATCGAATGTTTGGACATATGCATGAAGTATTTAATATAAAAAAACTAATTACACAGATTGCGTGTAAATTACGAGACGAATCTTTTAAGTTTAATTGTGCCATGATTTAACAATGTGGTGCTACAGTAAATATTTACTAATGATGGATTAATTAGGCTTAATAAATTGGTCTCGCAGTTTAGCGGAATCTGTAATTTGTTTTGTTATTAGACTACGTTTAATACCTTAAATCTGTGTCCGTATATCCGATGTGACACGTCAAAACTTTTCACCCCTGTATTTAAACCGGGCCTTAGCTATATTCCATAGAATGGCAGGGGGAATTATTTTTAGTCACTCCAGTGATCAAAATATAAATTTTAAATTCTTTAGATTCTGTTGCCAAAGTATATCTTTGAACGGAGAGAGTAAAATTTACTGACGCTTGATGATGCATACTGTTTGTGTTGCATGGTGTGCAAGACTGCCAAAGTGCCAAGTGCCAAACTTCCAACTTAGCGGTGGGTGCCAAGCGTCCCGCGCGAGTGCTGCCTACCCTCGCCAAAACCTGCGTCTTCACTTCAACACTGGTGTATTCAAGCAAATTCGCCAGTCTTGGCCGCTACTCCATCCATTTCATATTATAATAAGAAACCATACCTCTTTTCCTAATTATACTTTTTTTTTACTATTTTTGGTTTAAGTAAGTTTATAGAAAAAATAAGAAACATCTATCCCACAAAATTAGTTTCATTAAATATATAGCATTCAATATTTTTTATATATGTTTGTTTCACGTTGAAAAAGTTATTATATTTTTCTATAAATGATTAGAAGAAAAGTCAGAATAACTTATAATATGAATCGGAGCGAGTTGTTCTCAATTTTTCTTAGCAATTTATCTGGGCAAGTTTTCCTAATCTGTAATTTGCTTTTCTTAGACATGTGTGTTGGTGCAAACTACCATTCTGCGTTAAAAAAAGTTACTGCACTTCCCTGACAAAAAAAATCAAATTTTTAGTACTTGGTTTTTTGACCGCTGGAGTGGAGCAAATGTAAATCACTCCTACAGATAATCTGAACTGAGATAAAGCTTTTACTTTTAACTCGCGGTAATTAACTTTTCTACTCTAAAATTCTGAATGAGACGTGGAGAACGGGAAGGGAGAGTAGTTTTTTTTTTACTCGTGCACAGGAAAGGGAAGGGAAACCGCAGATTAACTTTATCTTTCTTTTTTGAGAAGAACGGCAGTACGATACGAAAAGGCATAATAATTTTTTGGCGGGCTGTCTAGTTTTCAAAATTAGTTAAATCTTACAAATCTAGATAAGATTTGCCCACTACTAGAGAACTGATATTTACTCGAATAGCAAAAATCATGTTTGTCCCGGTTAAATAGGATCGTAGACTGAAGAATATCTTTAGCCCCAGTAAAAAGCCAAACGACACTCATTTTTACTATGGTTCAATAGCTGTCAGGCGTATCAAGCTCCCAATGATATTTAGTCTCGGTTGATGTTACGAACCCAGACTAAAGATGGACCATCTTTAGTTCGGGTTGATAACACTAACCAGGACTAAATATATTTTTAGTCTCAGTTGGTGTTGCTAATCTAGACTAAAGAAGATGTCTCTAGCGTTAGTTTAAAAAGAAAGCATCTTTATCCAAGTCAAATATTTGTATGGGAGGTAACGCGCATAAGGGATGAGGTGAGAGATCAAGTTCGAATCGCACAACCCACACTTTTTTTTTATTTGGTATGCTTATCTTTAGTTCTGTTCTGTTATTTTAATTGGGATTAAAGATAGACATCAAATAGTCTCAGATTGAACATTCCTGTTACATAACTGAATCACTGTGTAAAGGTTACCAACTGGGAATAATGCTCCCTTGCCCACCAGTGGCCGTTGAGTTCGAGTTCTCAACTGATGGCGCCCCACAACATCGCTTCCAGTACAAGCAACCAGCTATGTAGAGAATTAATATCAAACTGTAATGCACGTACTTACGTGCATTAAACGTTGCATTCTCGTGATTTAATATGTGAAAGCGATATTAAAAGGATGATGATGAAATATGTGTTTTCGTGTAGTTATATTTAACGTCATTCGAATTCATAAACGTATAAGTGCATATAAATGCTAGTAATAACGGAATACTATAATCCCTCCGTCCTATAATATAAGGGGTTTCGAGTGTTTGTTTGCGCTGTTTGACCATTCGTCTTATTTAAAAAAATTTTGAATTATTATTTATTTTTTTAACTTACTTTATTATCCAAAGTACTTTAAGCACAACTTTTCGTTTTTTATATTTGCATAATTTTTTTTTAATAAAACAAGTGATTAATAGTGTAAGTAAAAACTCAAAATCCTTGTATTATGGACGGAAGGAGCACGTCAATACAGTAATACAAAACGTCAAAAGCAGAAATGAATGGAGTGATCGAGTAGCATATGCATGGTTGGCCGCGCGTCACCCCCCGTGCAACTTTGAGTGCGTTAGCCGTTCAGATCCATTTATGTCTGTGTATGTTTGGTAGTACTACTTTTGTACTGTCGGTTAATTGCCAACTTGTGCTCTCTCCTCATTTTTCAGGCGTTTCGAATTATTAATCGCTACATTTTCTTTTCAAAAACTAATACAATAGGAAAGTTACTTTAAAAAATATATTAGTTTATTTTCTGAATTTTTAAAGTAATACTCCTTCTTTTCTAAAATATAAGGCATAACCACCCCTAACCCAAAGACCAAGAAAATAATTATTATCATCTTATAGTTTAGATCATCCTAATAAATAAAATGCATGCATCCAATAAAATTAGAGAACGTGAGGGTGGAGAATTTAAATAAGTAATAATTTAATGGAGAAGGGGTCATAGTTAATTGCCTACATGCATGCATGCCTTGTATTATGAAACATCTGAAAAAAGTGGCTGTGCCTTATATTATGGAATGGAGGGAGTACATGATTAATCATGCGTTAATAAGTCGCTGCATTTTGTATGTGTGGGACCTTCCTGTCGAACTCATTCTAAGGTTGTGTTTAGTTCCATGCTAAAATTGGAAGCTTGAAGAAATTGGAACGATACGACGGAAAAGTTAGAAGTTTGTGTATGTGTAGGAAAGTTCGATGTCACGGAAAAGTTAAAAGTTTGAAGAATAAAGTTGGAAAAGTTAAAAGTTTGAAGAATAAAGTTGGAATCCAAACGGGGCCTAAAATAGTTTGCTTGGCCACCCTAAAATGAGTATAGTCGACTAGACGTGTGTGTGTGAGCAGAGTTAGTTAGCGGCCTATAAATATGGACGCTACTACATCGCCTCTACAGTGGACAAACAACCTGACGACACAGAGAGGTTGCGAGCTCTAGGAAGATATATCGATACGCCATGGAGACAGGAGGCATAGCGGAGCGTTTCAGAGACAAGACTATACTCATCACCGGCGCTACTGGCTTCCTGGGAAAATGTACTCTCTCTAGCTAAAATATGTCTTCATATTATGTGTGTTCATCTCTAGTTTTGGTGATTTTCATTTCGCATATATAATGTCATATGGCTTCATTGATTGGTATTTATACATTATCTCACCGTGGGCAGTATATAAACTTTTCGACTGATCATCATCGATCCAGAGTATATAGAAAGCTATCATTTTCTGCAAACTCGATTGCACGTTCTGGCGTGGAGTTGGAGTTGTAAAAAATAATCCACTCAATAGTGTAAATAAAATGTTATTGGGCCTTAGTGTAAAAAAAGATGAAGCTGTTTATACTTTGCAGTTATTGGATAAGGATGAATACACTCGACCCCATATTAATTGGTACCGATTAGAAGCCCACCATAGATGTTGGTTATCCTCTATTAATTGACACCATTGGAAATTTATCATAGGTGTCAGTTTCATAGCTGGTATCAATGTAAAGGTGTGTGGTCACTGAAATATAGGTGACAGTTCAGTTTTAGGTTAACAACCGACACCTATATTATATATGTTGGTTTTTTTTTTCTAATCTGTACCTATACTATACGTTAGAAAAGATGTCGGTTTCGGTTGAACTGGCACCAATGGGCCATCCCATAAGAGGGATTCTGCAGTAGTGCTTGACGACATGTTTGTAAAGTGTTTTACATTACAAATTAGCTAGAAACATTCTGCTTTGAGGAAAAAGTAAAGACGAGCTACCTTGATGTTAATATGTATAGTGAGAAAAAAATGACTTGTAGACTACTATAAAAAAATGTTTTCGTAGATGCCCTCCATTTTGCTGCATAGAGGGTTTTCTAGGCCACAATTCTACATGTGGATGGGTCAGGCTATTTAATTTTTTGAGATGATTGTTTTAACATACTCTCTATAAAAGTATAATATTTTCATAGACGGTCGGTCAAAGCCTGTTGATCTAAAAGCACATAATGTAAATTCCCTTTTAGCCTGCTATAAAAAAGCTTTAATTTTATTGGTAGAAAATAATTAATGATGTGGGTTTTTCTTATTTTCAAAAGAACTTGTATGTCCGTTTGTACATATGTGAATGCTACACATGCTTATTACTGTCTACGACGTACGCAGTGCTGGTGGAGAAGATACTGCGAGTTCAGCCGGAGGTGAGGAAGCTATACCTGCTAGTTCGTGCTCCGGACGCCATAGCCGCCGAGGAGCGTGTTCTCACTGAGGTACAAGTACAAACGAGCCCACAGATTTTGCTACGGTTTTCAACTCGTTCTGCACGCTGAAATGCATTACTACTATTCTAACATATATACAGCTTGGCAAATCTTAATTAATTAATTAATTCGCAGTGACAGAAGATGGATGCTTACGGCCCCATCGTTTGGCTTATTCAGGATGCAATGTTTGGCTCATTCAGGAAATAAGCCAAACGGTATATTTGCAATGTTTGGCTCATTTAGGAAATAAGCCAAACAACATATTAGTAAACGAAAAATAATTTGTGAATAAAACTATATATGCATATTCTTTACGATCTAAAAACAAAGGCTGAAAAATAAACTTACATGAAAAAAAAATCTTAAAATCAACTCTAAATTTATGGTTGAAAATTTAAATTTTGGCTCATAAGCGTAAGCAGATGCAAAAAAAAATGAGGCTATTAATTTCATTTCCTTAATGAAATCTCTACTGTAGCTACCAGCAAAAGGCATCCAATATAGTATTGCAAGATTAATTAAGTATTAACTATATATTACAATCTTTGAAAACTGAATTTTGGAAACTTCTATATATAATGTTTTCCAGAAGTGGCACCTTTTATTGGTTGAAAAGCATGCCGACGATAATCCAATAGGCAATAGCCAAAAATTACACCTTATGTATAATATTGCTAGAGCTTCGGTTAAATGAATAAGAGGATTAATCAACCTGGTTTACTTGTTGCTGTATAGGTTGTAGGAAAAGGTCTATTTGATGTTCTACGAGAACAATACGGTGCTGGATTCAACTCCTTCATCAAGGAAAAGATATATGCTCTACCTGGAGATGTGATGCATGAAAACTTTGGGCTTGAGAGTTATGAGGTCCTGCAGTTATCCCAGAAGGTAGATATCATCGTCAATGGAGCTGCAACGACAAACTTTATGGAGAGGTATATATATACATATCATATAACGTCACTCTCGGGGGATTTCAATTTGTTATTTCCAAGAGTGCCTTATGATTGAAAGATGTTTGGGTTGCTGAATGAAACAAATGTCTCCAATGCGCATAATCTCATTTCATGATTTCATATGCTATATCACAGCATTTAATTATTGAATGAAGTTATGAAACTATTTAATTACAACGAGGTTTAATTCATTTCCGTTTCCAATGCATCGGATGAAATTATTTAGTCCCAATGAGGTTTCATTAATTATGTTTATAAGGCATAGTTAAATGTGTAAACCAAGTTTCATCCAGATGAAACTCACTTCTTCTCTCTCTTAATAATTTTTATGACACGCCATAAGTTTTCCTTGTATGACGTTTCATCATTTAGTGAGAATGAAATCCTTACGAAACTTGCACTGGGAATGGTATAAGAACCAAGTTTTACTTTGTATATTTTAGAGAAGGACCGTATGTCTCACTTTGCAGAAGATGAAATCTCAAGAAGAATAATTAATTGTACTCTTGAAGGCGAGGTGCCAGAAAATTTATATATAAAAAAATAATCTGTAAAAATCTTTATACTGAAGAATGCTGATAATATTTCACCCCATCGAACAAAACTATGTATATACTATATATATATTGATGGCATAGCATATATATATATGTGAAAAATCATCCTAAAACATCATTAAAACTCAAAGCCGCCGCCGTTATGCATGTCCAATGAAACACATATATAACATGGAATACCTAGACACACTGACGACCCTAAAGAGAATGACACACACAATTGTGAGCAAGCTTCAGTTTCAACTGTTCGCTTTCAACCACCAATGACATGCATGGCATTAAGAATATATGTCATAATCTCATTGGGTCGCTGTGTGCAGGTATGACGTAGCTTTGGCAACAAACGCTGCAGGAGTCATGCATTTATGTCAGTTTGCAAAGCAGTGTGATAATCTCAAGATGGTGCTTCATGTTTCCACTGGTAAGCTTATATGAATGCTTCATCTACCCCAAAATAATTCAAATAATAGCATATCACCTAATAGCAGCACAAATCAGAATAGGACCTATCTCATCGTGTCCTAGGATTTATTTTTTGGCCATGTGACATTTATTCTAATTTCAGTTTTACGGCCCAAAATTTTAAGTAACTTTCTAAATTTTGATTCTATCGGGCATCATAATGTTTTATTTCCTCAATATAAAACCCTCGTCCTTCCCCCCTTGCCTCTGTAAGACCTTATTTTTGAAAATCCACAATAGCATAGCTCAGCTCTTCATTTTAGTGGCCAGCTGATGCACAATATCACATTTAAATTTATGGCTCACTTCAGACAAAATGTGCTGACTTCACCTATCCATGCATGCGTACGACTCCAGCCAATCTCACAGTACGACCCATCTCCTCCATACAACCACAACTCACTTCCTCGCCACCGAAAGTACACACCTCTGATTGACCCACCATGTGATCCCTCAAATCTAATTGACCCACTTATGTTTTAATATGCCCCCACTTATACAGCTTCTTTGGCTTTTCCAACATTTCGAGTATCACAGTTTATCCTAAGCAAACTCAAAATCCTAATATTAGTGATTTGCTTGCAAATCCACCACTGCACCACAAATTAGCCAACATAAAACGAAGGTTTCTATGTGCAACACTTTTATAGTAAATTGTATCGTAAACATATATATTGTCAAAGAGGTGATGTCCTAAATTTGCTACGAACAGCTTATGTAGCTGGTGAGCAAGCAGGCCAGTTACTCGAGAAACCATTCCAGATCGGTAGAGCACTACGACTGGATTACCAATTGGACATTGAAGCTGAGCTGCAATTAGTGGACAGTATCAAGTCAGAACTCAGAATAAAATGTTCCAGTGATGACAAGTTAGAGAAAACAACCATGAGGAAACTTGGGCTTAAAAGGTTTTAAAGAAAGAATCTTTTTTATATCTTGTAGCTTTGCAATAATTCCATGGGTATGAATAATATGATATAATGATGGATTTTTATGAAGGGCCACGCACTTTGGTTGGCCAAATACATATGTGCTGACGAAAGCTATGGGGGAGATGTTACTTCAACAATTGGGACAAGACCTTCCGGTTGTCATCGTCCGGCCAAGCATGATAACAAGCACTTTTCAAGAACCAATGCCTGGATGGATAGAAGAAACTAGGTGGATATATTCTAGTGTATTATACATATTGTTGTTAGTTGCTACACTTGGTTATAAAAAATAATTGTCTAATTTATTAACTCCAACCCTTTGACCTTACTTGTCTGCAGTATAATTAGATGCTATTTGAGAAATAATTACCTTTTGAGAAATTTAGAGTCCTTAAGGAGGTACTTGGTGGTACAATATTTTCTATTTTTAAATGTAATATTTTTTGGTGCCCTAGGTACTAGGCAATATTTTTTAAAATCACTTTTGCAATTTTATTTGCTGAATTATTTGTATTTTGTAAAAGAAAACATATATGTGCTGAGTGCCAATTATTTGTCTTTTGTATTACTAGTCCAATTAGTGGAATATTTAGATGCTACAAACTTTTATTGCAGGACAATTGATGTCATATTTGTTGCCTACAATGACCAAACCCTTCCATGTTTTATATTTGATGGTAGCGTTATATTTGACTTGGTGAGTATTTCCCAACCAATATACATATATATATAAATTCATATCTGGTTATTTATGGAAGTTTGTAAATTACACAGATACCTGGGGATATGGTGATCAACGCAATGATGGCTGCCATAAATAGTCAATGGAATAAACGAGCTCAAGTGATATACCATGTGACTTCGGCTCACCAAAATCCCCTACCAGTATCTCTTATTGAAGAATCAATGTTCAGATACTTTGACATAAATCCACGTACAAGTAAAGATGGGAAGGCAATAAAAAATAAAAGACCACTAGCATTCAAGAGATTAGCATACTTCCAGGCATACATGATTCTACGGTACAAGCTGCCATTGGAGGTACAGACATTACATTTCTTGATTAGTTCCAGAAATCCCCCCCCCCCCCTCCCGGCCCAGTTTAGGTACAAATTGATTTGATTTGCTGACTTTGGCATGTTGATCTTCTGATAATAACCAGATGATGCGTGCAGCAAATGTACTGTTGGGAGGGATATACACCAAGAACTACTATGAGTTTAACCGAGACTACAACATTTTAATGACTGTGGCAAAGCTGTTTGCCCCGTATGTCTTCTTCAAAGGATGGTGAGCTTACTTCTGATGTCCCTTTAGTAGACTGAAAAATGGAAACTGTGTATTAATTTCTGGTACGTTTTAATTTGAGCTTCCCCTGCCACTCTCATTGTTCAGAAGAAAATAGCACATTCTTCTTAGCAAGACAATCTTATACTTTTCTAGAACTAATGATCTTCCTATAATTGACAATTTCCCTTTCTGAATTAAAATAAAGTACACATATGCTTTCTAAGATTTTTTTTACTAAACTACATACTGTAAATAGAAAAAAAATCTATCATTCATTGAAGTAGGTAATAAATCTATAACTGCATTCTTTCTTGATTTACCTACACGCTGATTTTCCTTCTGCATGCATATATACATTTTGATGAAGGTTTGATGACACCAACCTGAGGAAACTGTGGAAGGCGACGGCTATGGACCAAAATGATGATGCATCCATATTTAATTTTGATCCTAAGTGCATTAACTGGAGCTCATACCTCGTGAACACCCACATTCCAGCTGCTATAAAGTATGCCAATGACCAGAAGGCGAAAGCACGTAGTGCATAAAAATACATTTAGATGATGGTGTACATGCAAGGTGTTAGTTTGCATGGTGAATATATTGCTATTATTATATGAAAAATATTATAATGCTAAGATTGTGATAGCTCAATTATGCGGAATAAGTCATCCGTGTCAGAGTTGTGTGGAGTGGTGTGTGTTGTAGGGCTCTAGCCCCTTCTCTCTCTTCTTAATATAATGAGGCGCAGTTCTCCTGTATTTTTCGAGAAAATAAAAGTCATCTGTGTCGGGCGGGAACCCTCATCAATGGCAGTGAGACCGCTTACTATGCACTGTTGCCATTGCTATTATTAAATATTCATATTATAAATATTGTTGCTCCCCTAGAGTTGCCATTTGTATTCATCCTAGAATGTATTGCACAGTTGCCAACATTTACTCTAAATTAAGCACTGTTTCATGCGCTACAGTGTTCTTCGTACAGTCATTCATAACAGTTGGTGAATATAAAGTGCACATGTATTTAAGAGAAAAAATATTGATGCTAAAAACACACACTGGCCTAGTAGATCTGCTTAGCTCTAGTGTAGGTCTAAAGAGTTGCTTTCGGGTTCTGAGCATGCCAGTTGGTATGATCCTGCAACCAACAAGAAACCAAGAAAAGAAGCAAAGTTAAATCCATAAACGACAGCTGATCGGCTAGATTGCTGTGGGGACACCCGATAAAGTCATGGTGCCCCCACGAATACGTAACTGCCCAGGATGTTCAGTTACGCATAAAATGATATAAAAGCATAAACTTTGATTATACATTACTTAAGTCATTTAGTTCACAACACAACATAAATACAAACTATTACATATATGGCCTATAAAGCCTTATTTCTACAAACAGATAAACTTCTAGACTCTACCACAGGAACTGCCTGAGCGTAGGATGACCTAGAAACCATAATCGTCCCACTCTAATGCGTCAACAGGATCTCCACAAGCTTCTTCCTCCTCATGATGTGAACCCATTTATGAGTACAAATGGTACTCTGCAAGACATGCTTATGATAGCAAAATACAATAATTGCAGTATAAAACATGCAATATTAAGAATTGGAAGGTTTAAACCCTAACCTTAACAGTTATTTCATAGGGCCTATCTTAATAAACATTTGATATAAACAACACTATTGAACATTTAATTTAAACAACATTAATGAGCAATAAATATATAAATGTTACTTATAAATAACTTGAATAGAACATCAAGTAATAAATAAGTTAACCATATTAATTAATAGCCATTTAGTTTAACTTGTGCCCATAATCTGGAATCACCCATAGACACATCTCCATTAACCGGGAGTACGGCGTATTCGAATACTCTACGACTCTGCAGCGTCTGCCCAGCTTTACCCACTCGATACCCATAGCTGGCCGGGCTGAAAAGTAACAAGGTGTAATATTGCTCCATATATCTCTCCCTTCTGCCTAGTAAGTTAAAGGATGCTTGGGTCGTTGCTCGTAGTGATCTGGTCTGAGGTGTGTATCAACCTACCTCCGCATGTGTTAACGGTGAAATTTGGTAAGCCCAGAGTAGTCATCAGCTTAGAATCAGCATCGGCTTCGAAGTCTTGAGATTAGCCGATGAGAGTTGTCAAGTCGTCAGTTGTCAGATTCTTGCTATATTCTGTTAAGGAAATTGATTTACTAAAGGAAGCTTATCCAGAAGAGACCGAGTTCAAAGAGAATGCGGCATGGCAAGTTATCTATTAATTAAGGATAGTTTGTTAGTTTCCTTTTATCTATAGGAAAGTGTGTTTAGTGTCCTATAAGGACTTTATCTTTTCCTTTTATCTTTAGGAAAGTTTCTTTCTTGTCTAACAAGGACTTATATCAACCCATGGGTATAAATACGTACACCCGGGGTCTATACAATCTATCGCTACGATCAATACAATTAGGGTTGCGTCAACGATCGCTCAGATTGCAACAAAACTCACACGGATGGATTCGGAATAATTCTAGGAGTTTGGAATAGGTCTCCGACTTCGATTTTATGGTCAAACGGATGGTCAACTTGATAGAATAAGAAAAAGAATTTTTCTGATTTATCTGTCAATAGGAAAATCGGATTTCCTGTTCTTCTCGTTCTGTGCACAGGAACTGACCGGAATCCCACGACGCCGGTGGCAGAGGAGGCCGGTTTTGGGTGGGGAGGTGCCGGTTTTGCGATCTATGGGTCAAGGCAATTCCGTTTTTGTGGTCGGTGGCGAGAGAAGCGCCGGTGGTGAGGCTGGCGGCGGCGGGCAGAAACGGGAGGCGGAGGCGGCCATGGCGGCGGCATCTCTGGTGAATTCCGGGAAGGGGTGGCGGCCTGGTGAGGTTCACTGAACCGAGAGGACTCCAACGGTGGCGACGGCCGAAGCTAGGGCGGCCTGGAGTGGCGGGGCACCGTGCAACCGGTGGCGGGAGGCGGCGCCGGCGACGTTCCGGTGACGGATTGGATGGGGTAAGAGAGGGGAAAGGGAGTAATCGGCATGGAGAATCCGTTTAACCTTCAATTTCAGAGGATTTGCCATGTATGCGACGAATTTTGGAGCTCAATTAATGGCGCCGGTATTAGGGTTTCGTGGATTTTTCCTCCGGTGATGAGGATTGAGTCAGCGGGAGTTGGGGCGGATTCGATCTGGATTTTTCATATTTTGGTCCTTTTGAATAACTTATTTCGTAAATAGATCCCTAGAAAAACTTATCCCAGAAATGGTCCTTTTTGGAGCGCCAGAGTGGCTGGAACCGTCGTCCAACGGGACGGCGCCCGTCTCTCTGGCGCCGTCCTCCTGTCACCGTGGCACATGCGAACCGACGTGGCAGGAGGAGGGCGCCAATATGGCTGGCGCCGCCCTAGGGAGGAGGGCACTAGCCATGCTGGCGCCGCCCCCCCCCCTCGCCTCCGTTCCTGTTTCTCTATACAGAGTTGCGACCTTTTTATTTTTGTTTTATTTTTTCAGATGTTACCACAGAAAAAATTAAACTCCAACGGACTATACCACTTAGCTACAGGTCTGAAAATATATACTATACCACTTAGCCTATTTTACACCTTCATCAAAATTAGTAAAACCCTTTGATCAGCACGTTAAACATAATGCACTCTACCACTATATGAAATTACTTAATCTCTAATTCAAAATATAACAACATGAAATGATAGCCATAAGTTAAATAATACAGAGAGATGCCATTTTTTATTTTTATTTTATTTTTTTGATATTTTTTTCACACTTCGGAGAATACAAGAACCAACCATAGAAAAAATAAACTCAAACGGACAAAATATGTGACTTGTAGAATTTTCCAAAGCTCTACCGAAAAGTCATTCGGGTGTCATTTATTAAAAAAGGCGTAACTTTCTCATACAGACTCGAAATCAGGCAAATAATATATCCACAGACATTTATAGAAAATGTTACATCCGATTCTTCCCGGCGATATTAAAACCTCCAAATTTCGCTTGCAAGATTGTGTTTTCGAGGAGAGAAGTTTTTCGGTAAAGCTTTGGAAAATTTAACTGGCCACATATTTCGTCCGTTTGAGTTTATTTTTTATATGGTTGGTTCTTGTGAGTTCCTAAGTGTAAAAAAAATATCAAAAAAATAAAATAAAAATAAAAAAGTTGCACATCTCTCTCCTCGGCACTAGTTCAGAGAAAGAGGAGAGGAGAGGAAAAATTCTACTGGTTACATATTACGTCTATTTGAGTTTATTTTTTCTATAGTTATTTCTTGTGTGTCCCTAAGCGTGCAAAAAATATCAAAAAAATAAAAGAAAAATAAAAAATTTCGGGGGGGGGGGGGGGGGGGCGCCAGCCACTCTGGCGCACTCCCCCTAGCCACCTCTGCATCGCCCTGCCACGTCGGCAGGGGGACGGCGCCAGAGAGGCTGGCGCCATCCAGTTGGACGATGGCACCAGCCACTCTAGCGCCCCAAAAAGGACCATTTCTGGGATAAGTTTTTCCAGGGGTCTATTTGCGAAATAAGTTTTCTAAAAGGACCAAAATGTGAAAAATCCAGCGGATTCGATAAGGTGAAAGAGGTCAAAATTGCGATTCTTTTGCCTCCGGTCTTGAGCCTTGTAGTTGAGGGACGAAGGAATTATGGAGGCGGGAAGCTGGAGGTGTTGTCCGTCGATCCGCCTGTGCGCGTGCGGGCGTGTGGCGGCACAGGATTGGCGCAAGGCAGCACGAGCTGGCTCGGCCTGGCTTGGCCTAGCAGAGTAGAGAAGAAGAAAGAAAAGAAAAATAGAGAAAGGGAAGGAGAGAGAAAACAGAGAAAGGATAATATGGGGAAGATTAAAATAGATAGAATTTGAATTGATGTGGAATTTAGATAGTCCGACATTCATGATAGAATTAAATCGATTCAAAGGAATTATTTGAGGGATGATATGCACTTTGTGACAAAATTAAACGAGAAAAGAAACATCGAAAACAAAAATGGAAAATAATATTTTAAATAAATGTCTACCTCGACGGTTATATTTTTAGAGAATCAAAGCAAACTAAATCGGTTTTAAAAAGTTGCCAAATTTTAGGGCTATTACAATTGCTGATGACATATAGTTCAACATTGAGCCCATGTAACATACGTCAGATCGGCAGTATGAGATAAACTATAGAAACATTTAGACCTACTCGATCGGCTGTTGGTATGAATGGTATACAATCTATTCTTCAAGGTACATTTACAACCAAGTGATTGTGATAGATCGGGTAGCATGCTGAGACAGTATGAACCACTTATGTTTAAAAGTACTTCGAAGCATAGATTATATATATTCACGACATAGCCGATAGAGCAAATCTAACATGTATCGGCTACTACTCCAATACTACTTTATACTGAGATATTGATATAGATGAAATATACTGGACAAGAACCAATATAACAGGATAAACTATCAGACCGACAACAAGATTAATATATTTCAAACAGTCGAGAAATTAATATAAAGGACAGATTTAGCGTATCAAGTAAACACAATGTGACAAGATAACTAAACCAGGTAAGATCGGCTGAAACTCCGATGCTATCTCTACTAGCAACCGTAAAACTGGCTAGATATTGTAGTTCAAGGCATTACTTAACAGATCGAATCTAACTGATGTAACATTAAGCATGAAGAGAAACGGAAGATCTAAACAAGCCGACGATAGCCTTATCGAGATGGTAGATATGCTGTGCAGTTTGATTCGGTCGCCAATGGTTAACCTTAGTTGTTTTCAATGACAGAGGCTAGCCGATAAGGTTAAACAA